GTCCAAATCATAGCAAAAACAAGAAGTTACCGCTATGAAATCATTCAAAAAAATAGAAATGAAAAAAATTAACAAACAAAGAAAAAGAAAATGAAAAAGAAAAGCAAAGTAAGAAACGCTATGTATAGAGTAGGGTCCCCAAGAGGATGTATTCAAGATTGTCCTAGACTTCGGTATTTCACAAAGTGGCTGCTCTGAGGCTTAAACCCGTTCCAATGGCACTGATCTTCATGCTTTAAATCGTTAAACCAGGCAACAGCCCTAATAGAGCATAAGATATATTTATTATAATTCTATATTGGGTACAAATGATCGATAAAATAATATGTAGATATATTTGTATTTTGTACATATAAACTTGCTAGACTGCATATCAAGAATACTTTTATCATATAGAGTACATCAAGAGTTTTTATCTTCGTGAAAGACGATGAAATTAGAGAATGGTGGAAATGTCGTTTTGAGAAGCTGTTGAATGAAAATCATATAGGAAGATGTGGTTTAAAGAAAACAGTAACTTCAGGGATATTAGAGAGTATTTTTTTTGTGCGATTATGGTATCAAAAATTTTAAAAAAAAAACCAAGTAACAACGTAATAAGGAAGATAAACATAAGAAGGGCTTTACGACCATATGACATTTCCTATTGAGGCTTAAAATATATAGGGATGATGGAATTGCCACATGAGTGATACCTATGTATAAACATAAAGTAATATTAAAACTTCTATAAATTATTGGGATATTGAATTTATTGAAGATTTAATGGAGAAATCAGTGGAGAAATCTTTCAGTAATTGATGTTGTTTCCTATTATTGAAGATTTGGTGTTACTAGAGGAATCAGTGGAGATAAATCCTATTTGTTTCCTATTTTCTAATTCTTTCCATTCTTATAATTTCTTCCCCTATATAAAGGAGCCTCCACCATTGTATTGTATATGAATTGAGAGAGTATTATAAAAGTGATGTAGCCCTTTGGACTCTTTGTGCCGTGGATGTAGGCCCTAGTGGCTGAACCACTTAATATTTGTGTGTTCTACTTGTTTTATTTATCTCTTCGCTTCCGTTTTATGCTTTACAACATGGTATCAGAGCCTAATTTCTCTTCCTAGGTTCAGACCCCTATTTTGGGGTATTCCCTTACCGTCTGAAATGTTGCTAAGGGTTTCTCAAAGCTATTTGTGACTTGTTTGGGCTGCCGATTTGTTCGGCAATAATATTCTTCGCCTTTGTCAAGTCTCCGACAGTTTTTTATTGACTTGTTTGGGCTGCCGGTGTGTACGGTGGCATTGTCCTCGTCTTTGCCGTGTCTCCGGCAGTTTTTATCGACTTGTTTGGGCTATCAATGTGTTCGGTAGCATTATCCTCGCCTTTGTCGTGTCTCTGGCAATTTTTTGTTGACTTGTTTGGGTTGTCGGTGTGTTCGGTAGCATTATTCTTCGTCTTCTCTCCTCTCTCTTCATTATTCACACTTGTTGTTACTCGTCATCTCAATGGCAAGTTAGGCATTCATGCTCCAACTTGAGGGGGAGTATTGAAGATTTAATGGAAGAATCAGTGGAGAAATCTTTCAGTAATTAATGTTGTTTCCTATTATTGAAGATTTGGTGTTACTAGAAGAATCAGTATAGAAAAATCATCCTTGTTTCCTATTTTCTATTTCTTTCCATTCTCATAATTTCTTCTCCTATATAAAGGAGCCTCCACCATTGTATCGTATATGAATTGAGAGAGTATTATAAAAGTGATGTAGCCCTTTGGGCTCTTTATTCCGTGGATGTAGGCCCTAGTGGCTGAACCACGTAATATCTATGTGTTCTACATTTTGTATCTCTCTCTTCGTAATAAATTATGATATGGAATTCTGGATTATTATGATAAACCAACAACTTAGACTTGAAACATTTTGTCTAAAAAAAATCAATTCAGATTTGCTATTATTATTTTTTATGAAAGTAAAGTATGATAAGTGTTAGATTAGATGTCAAGAAGAAAGATCTAAAAAGAAGAAAAGTAAAACCAGAACTGAATACACAGATTATACTTAGCAAAACTAAGAATACAAATGGATATGTACTAAACCAAGAGCTGTATAATTTCATTATCTAGATTCGATTATTCAAGAATAGGGAGAGATTGAAAATGATGTAAATCAAAATTTTACATCATGATGGATTAAGTGGATGAATGCTTTAGCTTATTGTTTGATAAAAAACATGCCTCTAAACTTGAAAGAAAATTCTATATAGCATCTACTAAATTAGATAGACTTCGTGAGACAGATATAGGATAACTAAGAATAACATATTCACAGAATAAGTATGGCCAAAATGCCGTCTTTAGGATGGTAGTGTTGTAAGATAAATGTGGGCTCTTTTGGTTGAAGTTGATGTTTGGGGTATTACATGTAAGATGACTGAGGTACCAAGTGGACTACACTTGATTGAACCCTTGAACCAAGGCTATTTTATGAGAAATGGAAATTGGCCACAGGAATAACCAAAGAAACCCAAGGCAACCCTTGCCCTTGGTATTGATCTTAGTTCGGAGAGGTCATGATCTTTCTAGATGTTCTTGAGATCCTTTTAAAATGATTTTGGTGTGTTAAATGTATCAAAGGGTCTCTTTTTAACATATTGGGTAGAACCTGATAATAATTTTATGTGTGACACAAGAGGTGCTCATAGCAATGCAAGTTCACAAGAGGATGATGCGGCCATGTATTCTAAGCATAGTCCAGCGGATGCCACCACAAGCTATATCACGTGGACTCAGGATACATGTGTCATGTGCGGATTTGTGTTTAAACATCAAATTATCAAATTACAAACTCAAATAAACAGACACTGCTAAATATTTATACTATATAATATTTTTCATTTAATTTCTAGAGTAAATTCATGAGTAAAAATTTATTTTTTTTAAATTCTAGAGTAAATTAATGTTTTCACTCCTTTGAAAGTAATAATGTAACAAAATGAGCATAATGATGGTGTTTTATGAACAATTATATATATAATTGAAACATTTGAGATGCATGTCCAAGCATATGGGTAGGACATATATCTCATACCCACGTCTTGAGTGATACGGTTTACCACGAGTACATCGCGCACTTTTTAAGGACCATGTAAGGCCACAAGTAACCTAATGGGATGGCAGTAAAATTGGAAAAAAAATGCACACTTGGATGGCAATACAAGTTTAGAACGATATCGAGGCCATCAAACATATTGAACATGATATAGCAACGATCAAAATGGGTGCCACCATGTGTCAATGGAATGATGTATGGGATGTTGTCTTGTGTTGATTATTGCATTCCAATAGGGTGCTGCCGCTTTATTAAAGGATATGCTTTTTTCAGGGGCCACATGATGCCTCACTTTAGGACAGGCAAAACATAAGCCACAACAGGGACACCTTAGAAAACTCTAAACATCACCCACAAGTCAAATGTAACATTTGACTCCATTATAACACCTAAGTAGTAACTTGTTATATCAAGGTTTCAGATACTCTCATGCTGAATACTCGTGTTTAGGTAGCTTTTTCCTTATGGGATGCTACCAAAGATTTTTTAACAAGCATGTTACACAATCAAACACTACTATGAATTTCTAAATTGTTGGCTTTACTAATAATGAAGATTGTACAATCCAAGGCTTCATATCCCAACAACTTGAGGGTGTTTTTTTCCCTTTCCAATGAGTTCATTCTAATAATTATATCAATAAACAGTAATTTCATCAAATATTTTTATATATCCCATATATCTTCAGGGATACAAGTCCATGACTTCTTTTTTTTTTTGGTTGTTGGTTCGTCCTCCTCAACTTCAGGTCGCTTGAAGTAGCAATTAATTTGATAGTTTCTCATAATTTCCTATAGATTTATGCAAATGGTTATGGTTTCTTAGAAAGTTACGGTGAAGTTATATCCTCGAAACATATCGACTGCTGAAGTATAGGAAGTTGAAACAAGAGATGAAATGAGGAGGAAGAAAGGCAGAAGCTCAACCATGCCATAACAATCAAAAATTTATAAAATAAAAAAAATAAAAAATGGAGACAGAGGGAAACTAGAAAACCCTAACAATGATGCAGAAATAAATGGAATCAAGCTCGAGGGAAATTATGCAATAACAAACTGTGAAGATTACAGCATCGGAAAAACCCCAAACTGAAAGTTCTTAAAAAGAAAAAAGTTGAGGATGACCAAAAAAACAACATTACAATTCATAACCATTTGATGCCCAAAAACATTCATGAAAGTGGATTTCATCAAAATTTCAGGGGGCAATCCATGAAAATCAAAAGCACGCTTCAGGCTTCAGACTTCAGAGGGAGTAGGATATCTACCTAGGAAAAGAATGTGCAGCAAGAATTTAATCAACCATATGGACAATAATTTATTAATTCCAAAACAGTTTCTGAAATGCAAGAATCAAATTGAATCAAGTCATCACTGAATAATTTTTCATTCATGGGAGTAAATTGCATTGTCATTATTACAAATATTGATTTCATGAAGTACTTTTATATGTTAATGTGATCACAATTTGCAGAGGCTTGTAATTTACACCAAAAATTCATACGTGCTATCAGACCGCTAAAACGAATTATGGGATAGTCATCATAACTCACGATTTACATTCAACTTGTAGCTTGTACAAGCACTTCAAAATTTAGGATGCGACTCTTTTGGCATCATTTTTAAAATAAAAACCTAGGAGAGTCTCCACAGTAGCCTGGCTTTAACTTCCCATATACTTTAATGAACCAGTTTGATTTCTCAAACATAGAAGTGCAACTAAAAGTCAACATTTAAAATATTGCTCGGACGCAAATATCCAACACGAACATGCAGCAAACTAGTACGAAAGAGTTACCTAAAACATTTCCAGGCTAAAGAGTAGACTGCTTTCATAATGATAATTTTGCAATGCGGGTAAGGAAACAACAATTTACAGCATTGGTAAAGTTGAGGAGCACCCACCTCGCTGCTCACGCGAACTTGCGTTAGCATTTAAGCCCCTCAACCTTTCCAGAATCTCATCCGTTATCTTCTGTTTCAAGTGCTGGGGCAATTCAATAATCTTTTCTTCACTTAAAAATCCCTCCTTGATTTCTTTCACCTTTTACCACAACAAAGTGTTCCCATTACACTAAATTTAGTCAATTGGCTAACTATGCAATAGAACAGAACACCCAATTACAACTCGAATTCAAACTATCAGAATTTTGTAAAACAAATACTGTATATGGTTACTATAAAACCCCAAAACCTAAAAATTGTCCTTACCAATTTAACAAGTTCTATAGGTTCCGATGCCTTTCGTATTCGAATTGATTCTTCCATTTTCCTAACCTGATCTGGGGTGTACCTAAAAGCTGTATATTGGAAACAAATCAGCAACCAAGCATTGACAGTTGAAGAAATAACAAAAATCACAGATGGGTATCTACAAAAACTTCAATTTGATAATGGGTTCTTCAAAACAATCATGAAAAACACTGAATTTACAATTAAAGCCAAGACTGTGACTGAACTCGTACCACTTTGTGTATCGTTGTAAGTGTAGATGTAAAGCGAACTATACAGAGAGTGAAGAACATAGAGAGCAACACCGATGTTAATTGTACAAATAAGGACAGTGGTGCGCTTGTACGAACACCATTTGCTTCTCTCATTGTATCCCCACTCTGCCCTCGCCATCTTCTTCCTCTGTTTTCTTCTTCAACTTCGTTTCCATCGCATCATCTCCTCTCTCTCTCTCTCTATATATATATTATATATATCTCTATAATCTCCCACTCTAGCAAAAACCCAGAATTCGAAGAATGTTTCTTGAGATTCTAGTTGCCTCCAATGGATCAGCAAAATTGATCTTAGCAATCGAGGGCTTTCCTTTTTAGGTTGGGAAATTCTGCTCTGTTTTCAAAGAAAATTGATGTCTCTGTCACAAGAACAGTGAGGTCGTGTTTACACTATTATTCTGTAGTATATTACTATAATTTGCACTATATATCATAACTTTAACTCCGCAACAAGATTGCTATTTGGACTTACTGTTCGTAACTTTTGATGTTAAATGCATAAGAAATTACACAATATTGACTATATTGACAAAGCAATGCTAAAGTGCGCAGGTGCACGTGACATGTTTATGTTGAATTTGTGGTCATCTGCCGACTTTATGTTAACGTGCGCTTGGGTTGTAATGTAAATAATGCAAGGGTTTGATTCTTATTTTGAGTTTTTTTTTTTTTTTTTTTTGGCCATTAATTATTCCTTTTTGGTATTATAACTTTTTAAAAATATATACAAATAATTAATTGTCTCCTTTTTAAAATTACTAAATTTTTCTTTCAATTTTAATACGTATATTACCAAGTTTAGAGATTTTTTAAATTAAAAAATAGCATATATTTTTATTTGACTCTTCATATGATATAAATTAGGGTAAATTGCACTCAGGTTTGGGTTGAAGACGGCCATTTACAACTTAAACATTTTTTTAACAATAACACCCAATCATGATAAAAGTAAAATGAACAAAGACACACAATCATGATAAAAGTACTTACTTGCTCTTTAACTTCTGAATTGACCTACATAAATTATTAAATTACCTTTATAACCTCTTATTAATTGACCAAAATGGCCCTCGGGAATGAAAAAAACAAAGGGTAAAGTGCAATAAACCCCCCTTAACTTTACCCCAATAAGCAAAAAATCCCCTTGAATTTTTAAAGTAGCAGAAAACCCCCCTACACTTAGTTGTTTGGTTGCAACTTACCCATTTCGATGACCGAGGATCATTTTTTAAGGTTTGTCTGGCACGTGATTGGGAATATTTTTTTAAAGGACCATACAGCCCTTGGTTGGCCACTCAATAATCCAATACCCACCAAACAATCCCTACGCCTTTAAAAAAAAAAAAAAAAAAGAAAGAAAGAAAAAAAAAACATCAACAGAGACCAAACTGGGAGCCAAAGGAAGGTGTAGGGGCGTGGAACAGAAGAACGGTGCCGGTGAAAAAGGACGGAAGAAACGGAGAGAACACCGGCGAACGTAAAGAGCGAGACTGAACAGGGAACTATGGCGGCAGTGTGGAACTGGTCCGGTGATTATACAGAAGACGGACGGCAAGTCGCCAACTGAGTAGAGAGTTGAAGCAGAAGGACGGCGGTGAAATGACAAAGGTTGGTGTTATCGGCGATGAACAAGACGGCGGTGAAATGACAAAGGTTGGTGTTATCGGCGATGAACAAGATGGACGTCGTGTTTGCAAGACGGCGACAAAGAGTTGGTGACCAAGGAAGATGATGATCAAGTTAAGATAATGTTTGCATTGACTAAGTGCTCCAATTCCGAGCTTGGAAACTCAAATAATTCACACCAAACCACACACCACAAGTCGTCAAACCCAATTGACACCACAAACCCTCCACCACCATCAATCTCAGATAAGAAATAAAGAAGATGATGTTCGCATCGCCCGATTACGTGCTTGGTCAAACCCGATACAACCCTTAATTCATACCGAACCTCTCCACATGCCATCAAACCGAATGGGAACCACAAACCCATTGCCACAACCACCATCACCGCCACCACCATTTGCTACGACCTTCTCTTTCCATCGCCTTTGAAACTCAAACTTTTCATTCTAATCCACAAACCTACTGCCCACTCCCGTCGCCACCATCGCCTCCTCGTCACACACATATTCTGTTTTTAAACCCAACAAGCCCGATGCCTCTTCTCCTCCAGTGCTGCCGTCGGTGTACCTTTTCTTGCTCAATACAATCATAAAGACGAATTGCTCCGGCATATTTTCAAAAACCCTTTTAATTGATGGCCATCACACCTTCGAGCAGTTCAGAGGAATCGAAATCATAGTTATTGAATGCTAGGGTTTCTGATTTGGGACTATGGATCAACAATTGTTCTTCCAAATGAAGGATTGTAGAGTAGCAGAGAGAAAAAAAGTTTAATTCTTCTGGGTTGCCGGCGTTGTACGCCTCCTCTCTGGTCCCGTCTTTCTCTCTATATCTCCAACGCATTTTTCTCTCTATATCTCTAACGCATTTTTCTCTCTCTATCTCCATTTTGTGGTTTAATGAGGGGTAAAATGGACTTTTCTAATTTCCGGTGATAGAGATGACCGAAATAACCTTCTCTGTCCGAAGACTACACTAAGACCATAGTTGAGGGGGGTTATTTGTAATTAAGGGGGGTTAGTTGCACTTAGGGTATAGTTGGAGGGGATTTATTGCACTTTACCCAAAAACAAATACTATTGTGACATGTATAATTTTATTGTGACATGTTTTCTTTTTCTTTGTTTTTGTGGAGGAAAAATTTGACATGTTGTGTAAGTAATGTTTTAATAAACACTAAAAAATAAAAGTATTAGCTTGTGTGTGATTACTTGAAGGGGATATTTAATATTTGAATATTAAAAACGATCCTCTAATATTTAATATATTACTACAGAATAATAAAAAATATATATTTAAAATCATATTTCTTACCATTTGAGATGGAAAGTCATATTTGTATTCTGTACAAGAATCATTTTCCTAGATAGTATAACTAATCCATCTATTTCAGCGAGGGCATTAAACACACACAAAATTTCTTACAATGGTTTTATATTATTTAAAAATTTTAATTTTACATTACTAGTTTGACCCCTAATTAAAAATTTCTTGCACCACAGTGGTGGAGTTTTGTTTTTTTTTTCTTCTTTTTACTAAGGGTCATTTTGGTAAATAAAAAGACTTATAAATATTAATATTATATTTTAATGATTTAAAATGAGTTAATTCATAAGTCAAAGATAATTACGTACTCTTATCATAATTAGGGTGTTGTTGTTTAAGTTTGCAAATTTAGAAAGACAATTGAATCCCAGTTTCTTTAAATTGTATCTACATGTCTTTATTACAAACCTAGTGTGAGTTTAAATTACCTTCAAAATGAATTTGGAAAAATAATAATAATAAAAAAATAAAATAAAATAAATTGAAATAGTAATATAGAACCTAGAGAGTAATGAATAAATAAATAAATAAAATCTCTTTCCTCTTAAAGTGTGTCTGATTGTCACATCCGTTTATGATCAGATTTATCTTTTCCTTTTATAAAGAATAAAGCAAGCTCTTTAAACAGTGTAAATAACACAAAAGCTATGTAAAAGCATCTTTAACCGTTATATATATATATTTTGTAAATTTAATGTGTCGGTTAGATTTATATCAAAAATTTAAATTATTTATTTTTAACTCCAACGATTGTTTATACCTTTTGCGTAAAAATATATCCCCTAATATAACAACCAACCACCTATCATGTCAGGATCTCAAGTAACTTTTACAAATTACTTAATATAGGGTTGACTCTTTAATGGAATGAGAAAAGGGGAGGAGAAAAGAAAGAGCAATATCTATACTATCTTCATAGTGATGTAAACCAATAATAAATAGACATGTCATCTTTAATTACTAAATTTAATATTTATTATTGGCCTACATCACTAGTGAGGATGGTGCAGATTCTCACTCGTGAGGACTTGAGTATCGTTCGAAAAGAAATATACTAATATCGCTGTGTAAAAAGGCGGTATATTTTGACAGTGCATCTTAAACAAATTTCTGAAGATAAAAATAAATAAATAAATAAAATAAAATAAATTTACACATCATATGTGGCCGTGTATATTTTAACAAACTGCTGAAGATGCTCTAACACTTGAACACGGATCTAGAGGATATCACTCTATGGGGACAATCTTCACCCTTCACTTGTGCACAATAAAAACCAAACTCAAATTCAAACTTTTTTTAAAAAAAATTACATTCAATTTTATAATGTTTTATACACAAGAGAAATCCAAGCTGAAATTGATTTTGATATCAATACAATTTTTATTTCAACTTCTCTGCTCAAGCTTAACACGAATTCAAAAATTGAAATATAGATTAGGCTCGTGTTGAGAGAAGTGAAGGTTGGGTTGGAAGTTTTTAAAACTTAAATTGTATTGTCAATATATTTGACGGCTCCGTCTGTTTCGATATAAAATATTTTTTTGTTTATAGGTGTTTGGTTGTCATAAAATATTTACGAATAAAAAAATATATTAAAATTTAATAAAAATAACTTATTCATCAATTTTCGACAAGTTATTTTACATGCCTCGTCCGATGGACTCGACTTCAACCTCGACATAATCCTTTGCTAAACTCGGACAAAGTAAAAATAAAAAAATATTTTATATAGAAACAAAAAAAAAAAAAAAAAAAAAAGAAATTCGTGGCATGTTACCAAGTCTAGTGGAGTTATAGTTTAGATTTGTTCAATTTCTTTTATCTGTGCTTGAAATCGGCTCATGTTTGTGATATATATTGTATTTAGTAGTCTGAAATCTTTAATTGATATTGGAATTAGAGGAAAGTTACATTATATTGGAATCGAAATTTTTTTTTTTTAAGTTCAAAAAAATAATAAATAAAATTAAAATTAAAATTAAAACACCAACTCATGCAACTAAAAGCAATTTGAGCTTAATTTGAGTAGACCAACTCAACAATACTCATAAGTTTGTGAAATATTATATTTTCATACTCTTAATTTATTACTTTATTTATCAATACTACTGAATTTTAATTTTTTTATAATTCAGTATAAAAAAAATAATTTTCAAGATTGCAAGTACTACCTAACTCATAATTAACATTTTATAATTCAAGTCATAATTAACATTTTTAATTAAATATTGATACCAACATTCTCTTTATCTTTTGACCTAACACAAGATATAATTAAATATTGATACCAAAGAATAATCCACATGCTTAAAGCTAATTATGAGTTAGCTTGCAAGTACTACCTAACTCATAATTAACATTTTTACAATAATAATTAAATTAACATTTTTAAACAATTTGGGTCTGAAATTTTCATGAGTGACAAAGACACTTGTTGCCTTTATGA